GCATGCTTTTGTTTGCAAATCTTGGAAAATCTAACTAAAACTGACTAAACAATAAGGAAAGTGTTGGCTCAGCAATTGAAAGATTCTAGAGGTTGGGAGCACTTTATAGGTAATTTATACCAACAGCTCAATGATGTCAGAACTCTCCATCTCTCCATCCTTGTGGCTAAGGTGGTGTGTGTTGCTTACTTAGGTCAATTAACACCTTCCTATGGAGCTGAGGGTGGAGTCAATCTTACTCATATCAGAAGGCTGCTGCATAAGCAATGCATGGATGATAATGACCATGGATAAAGGGGAGCAGAAGAAATTCCCACTTTGCAGGAATGCATGAACCGAGAATCAACGGTCAAGGAAAAGCAAGCCATGGTTATGATTTGGTGTAGGGCTTATTGCCTTCCTTTTGGAGGCACTGTTAGGGTCAAGACAAAGAAGGTTGAGGGATAGTTCCTTACTTGCCCTCAAATTACTGAGACATAAATGGGAGAAGTGGAGACAGACATTCAATAGGATCAGAGGCATAGTCTACATACAGCCTTAAGGACTTTAGTGTTTATACAAATGAACTTGAAACCAATAGGTAAGGCTAAGGAATTGTATTCCCGGTGGTGGCCCGATCTATAATTTCATAAACTTGAAACCAACGTGGTAGGCTAAGGAAATATATTCTGGGTGGTGGCCCAATCTATAACTTCACAAAAGGAAAATCCTCTCTCACTCTCTAAGTCAAATGATTATTTTTTCCCTGAGAGAGGAAGTGTATGTTGATTTGGAATAAAAACTGACTAAAAGTCAAATGTTATCAAGCAAGGTTCTGACGGCTCTATGCACAGACCTGATTAGCATGGAGACTTCTTGCTCCTGGGGCTTGCTAAAAGGAGACTCTGGAACTGGACAAATTGAGCTGGTGATGTCATTCCCTAAGTAACACAGGTGACTGCTGAGGTATGTGCACTTAAAACAAACCAGGCTAATTGGCCTGAGTTTTGGTATAATCTATCATTCTTTCACAGGAGAGAATTTTTGTGGGAGGTGGTCATATTAAATACAACTTTGAAATAAAGAAATCCCATGCTACTCACTTCTGGTGGCCCCATCAGAAATTTATTATGGCAAAAAACACAGACTATGTGATGTAAATCCCTTAGTTGAGCTTATTTGATCCTTCTTTCCTTCTCATTCTGTTTCTCTTTTTTTCTCTTTCTCTCTCTTAAGTAATAAAAAGTGACTAATGGATGAAATTTCACTTGGATGAATTATATGCAAAGTTGTTGCACATAAAATGAATTTTTTCCATGATATTGTATTTCTTTCTCTGCTTTATTGTAGTCTTTTTGTTTGAATTAATACAATAATATTACCAAAGTCATCCTCCATTACACGACTGTTTGCCTTCAAGTTCAAGGCAACAATGTCATTTTCAGATGAAGCTATTTGTCTTTGTTGAAACAGACAAGGCAGTTGGTACATTCAGACTCAATTGTTACGTTGCATGATTGATTCCATGATAGAGTTCGGAGCCAAGGGAAATGAAATTGCCATTAACTGTTCAGTATGTTCTCTCTTCTGCTAGATCTGATGGGAGAACAACTCGTATAACCAGGCCTAGGAGGGAAGCAGAAGGGAGTTAACTCAGATCAGTTCCCCAGGAAGCAGACTCTGAGACAGAGTTTAGGGTGCAGGATGTTTATTAAAGTGTGTCCTTGGGATCAATGCCAGAAGAAGAGAGAGAAAGGAAGCAGGAGTGTGCAGAGGGAAAAGATGAGCTGCGATGCAGGCCTAGTGAGGGCCCTGCTGACCCCATGGGGAGCTCTGAGGCTGGTAGGGCCCTTCAGTGTTACACTGAATTGAGCCAAGATGAACCAAGGCCTTTATACCCTATGTTGATTAGTTATTGGATATGGACTGTCCTGGGAAGGGGCATGACCCTGAGTGAGGTTGCTCTTTGAATTTGAGGCGATCCCTGAAAAGCTTGATAGCTGAAGTCTGTCTGCTGACAGCACTGCAGGGATCTAGGCCCGGATTCTGGGGCAGTTGTCCTTAACCAGAGGTGATTTTACCGCATAAGGGACATTTGACAATGTCTGGAAATGTGGTTTTTTTTGTGTGTGAGGAAGATTGTCCCTGAGCTAACATCTGTGCCAATCTTCCTCTGTTTTGTGTATGGGATGGTGTTACAGCATGACCTGATGAGCGCTGTGTAGGTCTGCACCTGGGATCCAAACCAGCAAGCCTGGGGCCTCCAAAGTGGAACATGCAAACGTAATCCCTATGCCACCAGGCCAGCTCCTGGAAATATTTGTGACGGTCACAACTGGGGGCATGCTACTGGCATCAAGTGGATAGGATCCAGGGATGCTGCTAAACATCTCACAGTGCACTAGACAGCTCCCCACAACAAAGAATGATCTGGTCCAAAATGCCAATAGTGCCAATGTTGGGAAGCCCTGCTCTAGGGCAACAAGTTACCTCTTGAAGTACAGCCTGGTGAGCATCACAGTGCCCACCAAAAGAATCGGCATTAAATGAGATATTACTACATGTCAGATACAATGCTCTGCATTCCTTATTCCTCCTAATCCTTGCATAAACCCCTTGACAGGAGTCTCATAGTTGCCATTTACTAATGAGGAAACTGATGCTCAGAGCAGCTGGGCAAACTGCTCAACATCCTGAACTGGAAGGATGCCAGATGAGATTTAAAGTGGACTTGTTTGTCGAAAACACTGTGGTATCTTCTAGCTTTCACTTGATGGCTCCATGCAGCAGGTCTCAAACTTTTCTCCTTCTCTACTGCAAGCACAAGATGGGTGATATTTATGTGTTCAGTTTGCTCCCATGGAATTCCTGGGGCATGAGCTGTGAACTCTCCTCTCTCTACTTCATTTAAAAGGCACTGTGTAACATGAGTGAGCAGGGTGCAAATTATAGGGATGACCCTGAATCCTCTCTAATTTGTATTTTTAATAGGCCATTCCTGAACTCTGAGCCCTTACTATTAGTAGCAGAATGTTTACAGAAAGTTTGCAGTTGATTTTCACATGGAGTAAGACCTGTTGGTAGCCTTGCAGAATGCCTAGAAAGACACTACAACATTTTCAGGAGAATTTGCTTGGTACTATCTCTTCATGGTTCTGTGTCATTGGATGGATTGAGTCATTCAAGAACATTCTTCAGATCTTATTGGCACCTCAAGAACCTGAGGAATCAAAGAATTAACTGGTTAATTTATTTAAAAAATAGCTCTTACTATGTTAGAGAAACTGTCCTACTTTCTTGTTAGAAACAGTAGCATTTACTAGTAAAAGAACAGAAACAAAATCTATCATTTTACAGATATAACGGTGAACTCAGAGTCAACTATCACTTTCTCTAAAACAAAATCACCAAATTGTGACTTTTTAAATAGGACATCCATGTAAAGGGAATAAACATACAATCTATAAAAATGATAAGGAAAATAAAATGCAGTACAGATTTAACCCAAAGATATAAAGAAAAAAGACAGAAGTTTCATCATTATTGAGCTCAATAATAATGTAGCTATTACAGTCAACAGCAGCTGCAGCTTTTAGATTCTTTAACACAGTATCAGTCACCTCTTAAAAAATTCTGTCATTAATTCCCACAGCACATTTCTTTATGGAGGGTGTTATCATCTTCATTTTCAATTCAAAAATACAAAGGCCAGAGAGATGAAAACATCTTGATTAAATTTTCACAAAGGTGCATCGACAGAGGACATTGCCAAGCCCAGATCACTTTCTTCTGTTAGAAAGTCTAATTTAGTTACTGTGTATTTACATTTGTTCACTCACTCTTTCAATCAAATTCTTTAAACATTGCTAGGTAAAATATGCTATCTTGGTCAGTTTGGGCTGCTGTAACAAATTGCCATAGACTGGGTACCTCAAACAACGGACATTTATTTCTCACAGTTCTGGAGGCTGGAAAGTCCAAGATCAACGTGCCAGCAGATCTGGTGTTTGGTGAGGGCCCACTTCCTGGTTTGCAGGTGGCCATCTTCTCATTGTACCCTCATGTGGCAGAGAGCAGAGTGCTAGCGCTCTTTCTCTTAAGAACACTAGTTTCTTCATGGGGGCTCCACCTTCATGATCTAATTAACTCCCAGCCCCCACCCCAAATATCACATTAGAGTTTCAACATAAAAGTTCGGGAGGACAAAACATTCAGTCCATAGCTTATAGTATAAGTGGTGATGTGCTGGTAAATGTTTAAAAACTGACTCTAAAAAAAGACAGAAATACACATGTATATAAGTTTATTTTTAAATTTTACTAATAAAAAGAATGTGTAGCACACAACTTAAATGTAAGAATAAAATATACAATATCCTTTATTATAAATCCTATATAACCAATTGATTCTCACAGAATACTTTTGTTAAATTTTATCAAAATTTTGTATCCATGGCCAACCTCTGGTTTCAATTAACCCACAAGCATAGTCCAGCATGAATGTTGATTGATAGTTTTAGGTTTTAAGCCACCAACATGGTGTCACTTGACATGGAGCTAGGACGAGATGCTCAGCAGCACACCATTAGACAGAATTTCCATCATACACATAAGATAGACATAAATAATCTCAAGAACAGAGGTAATAGTAAAACGTGGAAAACTAATTAGGAGATGATGAGATGATTTCTGAGTCTTTGTTTTAAATGTAACTTATTTCCTTCCAGGTTTATGTGATTTAATTTCTTAATAATAACTATGTTTAACTATCAGTTCACAAGATTCCAGAAAATTTAACAGTTGGCACTTGCAAGCTGGTATGATTGCTGTTAAGGAAAAATTTTCAGTTAATCAAACATGCCCATTTCCACAATGTTTCCTACTCCAACTGAGTGGAGTTTCAGAGCATTTGAATAGAGGCCATCACATTGTCAAGGAAAATAGATGTTGAAATAGATGATGTTGAAGTGGGGCAGAGATGTTTCTTTAAAACTTACTGTTATTTTTGTGGTTTATTCACAGGCATTTCCCTGCATCTCAACAGGCATTTATGGTAAGTGATCTAGCTTTTGATAATGTTTGTATTTCTTTATTTTGTTGGTAAAGGCGAGGTTAACGGGAAAAGTAAGAAGTTCTCTAATGAATATAGTTTGCTGTGATTTAAAGAGACTCAAAATGCAGGTCAAATCATCATCGAGGAATCTCAAGAGGCTATTTGGATGTTCTTTTTGTTCTTGAATTTTGTCGGGTACCATGTGAAATGATTAGCTGCACTGTGGTTTAATGTCTTTTGTTAAACAAAAATTTTTGCTTTAGTAGAATTTGACCTCTAATAATATTTTCTTTAGTAAAGTCAGATTTTTCCCTTAGATGAATCATAATGTGTATAAAGCCTAGCATTATCATTATTTAGTTGTGAATTACACAATAATAGAAACATTAAAATGCACATACATGCATATATTTGTATATTTAAATTTTTAAAAAATCCAAAGAAGTGACTGTTAATGAAAGCAGATGATTTTAATAAGCTGTAAATATTTTTTCTGGTATTGATGGTGTGTTTTAAGTAGTGACTGCTTCACTTACAGATGGAAGGAAAATATTTTTATAATCACATGTTTTCACCAGCCTAAAGCTCTCTAAATATCTTTCCACCTACAATGAAATTTCCCTATGATTTTTTTTTCCTCAAGCCATTAATAAATCTGTTTTACAATCTTAAGGTAAAATGGAGATTACTTATCATTTTAGGGGTTTCTGTTAAAGCAAAACAGATTATGACATTTCTGAGCTCAAACTTCTCACGTGGAGACTCTTACCTGAAAAATAAAATATGTACAAATGTAGAGAAAGGGCTTAAGTTTATTACTATAGGGGAGGGATATCTAGTTTGATGTCAAAGGTAGAAGACTGATTTCTTCTTAATCTGATATTTCTGTTGAAGGTTTTGGTGAGAATAAAATGGAAAATGTAGGCCTGATTTAAATTAAATGGGGAAAGATTTAGTCACACTATTTAAAAATTTCAAATATGTTTTGTTTTTTTTCTCTCTGGATTCCACTATAGCCTGGCTTTGTGGAAACTCTGTGAACACTGGGCTAGAGAGGGCTAAACTTCACCGTTATCCCCATCATGACTGCTCTTTCTCCCTCATAGATGGTCAGTTAGAGCTCTTAAATATCTGCTTAAAGGAAGTATTACATGCTAAGTTTTACCTGGTCAAGAGACCAGAGCTTCACTTCACTTTGTCTAGAGTCAAATCAGACTCCATTGCAAAATGATTCTCATTTTGAGAATGTTGTGTCATGACAATCTTGATTTTCCCTCACAAAAAACAAACAAACAAAACTCCAGCTGCTTAAAGCAGTACTATACACATCATTTCCCATGTTTATTACCTTGTCATATTGTTAATGTCTGTTTTGTCTCTGAGAATCTTATGGGAACATGCAAAGAATTTCAGAGGGTGAATTTAACATGATACACCAAAAGGAAGGAAAGTGGCAGGAAAAGAAAATAGAACAATAAAGGAAGATGAGGAGGGACACTAAAATTAGAGGCTCAGGAGAGGATAGGAAGAACAAAATCAAACCTAAGGTGACTCTTGGTTAATTCTCATCCCTGAAGGACTGGGATTTCTCCTTAGAGAGAGTAACATGGCTCAAAATAAGGGAATTGGTTCTGTACTTCATTGTGTTGGATGGGGAGAAAGATTGAAGACTGTTGAGTAGGGCATTGATAGAGAGTCACAGTCACTGGCTTGGAGGGCTGCCACCAGGCAAGCTTGGACAATTTCCACAATACCAGCTGGAAGAATGTAGTTTTCAAGTGTTGGGGCCGGCCTAGTGGTATAGCGGTTACCTTCACACGCTCCCCTTTGGTGGCCTGAGGTTTGCGGTTCAGATCCCAGGCAGACCCACGTACCACTTATCAAGACATGCTGTGGCAGGTGTCCTACATAGAAAATAGAAAAAGATGGGCAGAGATGCTGGCTCAGGGCTAATCTTCCTTAGCAAAAAGGGGAAGGATTGGTGGCAGATGTTAGCTCAGGCATAATCTTAAAACAAACAGACAAACAAAGTACATATATAGTTTTCAAGTCCTGGTTACTCATCTCTCTTCCTCTCTATTTTTTGAGTAAATTTAAAAGTGAGAATGATACGCACAAAGTCAAATGCCATATTGCCTTTGGCTACCTTGAGGCCTAGGTTTATTTTTATCTCCATAAGATCCTGTTTTAGTAACTATTAGATTACTCCAGTCCTTTTTAGTTTATGGACCATTTAGCATTTTGCAACCTGAAAATTATTTCTTATGTCCCTTGTGAAGTTATGGCTTTCTGGTCGGTGCTTGATTCTCTCCTAGTACCTAAATATTATGGGTCACTTGTTTTCTTGCTCTTCTTCAGAAGTCTGCTCTGCCTCCTCCATCATCTAGATCAGTTTTACTTTTATGTTTATTTTCTAAGATATCAAATAATACTTTATTTAAAGAAGTTCATGGCTGAAAAGAAAATATTAAAAAGCTTGCAAACAAAACTCCCAACACTTTGTAAATCATTCTAGAATGGATTTAGAGCGAATATTCAGAACAGTCACCTGGTTCTAGTCCTTTCCCTTCTTATTCCATATTCTAAACTTTACTAGATTAATTTTTCTGAGATACCACTTGGTGCCTGTTTCCCATCTGCTCAGGAGCCTTTGATCATATTCCATTACTTGCAGGTTAGTGTTCACTCTTTCTAGACTGCACAATAGGCATTGTATGTATCTCCTATAAACCAGTGCTTTCAAAATTTGTCAAGAGGGGGGAAAAATATCTTCTTGAGTATGTGTATCAGTGTGCCAAGAAATTATGTCTCTTTGCCTTTGTAGCTTTAAACGGGGAATTTAGTTTGCAGCGTTTCCTAAAATTATGTGACCATAGAGATTGTTATTTTCTCAACCTTTCTCAGGAGTAGTATTTTCTCCAGAATATAGTTTGAGAAATTTCTTGACATGCACTCATCATGGACACATATTCTGTTACCCACAAATAAGATGATGAATCTCAAAGCATGTTATATACCTTGCCAGGTCCAATTCTCTGTCCCTTCCTTATACCATACACACACACACACATACACATGTGCACCAAACTCACACACAGCATCGCTACCACTGCTCTCTCTCCTGATTCCCAAACAAAAATACACCACATACACTTATGCAGGTTGAATCTTGATCTCTGAGAAGTCTTCTTTTAATATGCCAACTTTTAGTAGTCATTACATCTTTTGAAATCTTTCTGCTTTTGTAATCTGGAGAATTAGCAATGCCCCCTTATATTGTGCCATAGATTTCTGCTGATATAACTTGTGCTTATAGCCTGTCTGGAATTCTTTAATGAGCAGGGATTCACTTGTGCATATTCTATGCACACTCAGGGCTTAGCATTGTGTCTAGAGGAGGCTCAGCAAATATTTGCTGTTTGATAACAATGATAATGATTGTAACTCAAGTTCTTGCCTAACTGAAGATACAAAAAACAGAATTGTTGACTGGCAAAATAACAGGTAGAGAAAGCTACACAGTTGATATTTTCTTAATGGGCAAACATCTCTATTTTAGGAAAAACAAATATGCTTCTAAAAAGCATTCTTACATCCCACAACTAGAAGGACCTGCAACTAAGATATACAACTGTGTACAGGGGGTGGTTTGGGGAGGTAAAGCAGAAAAAAAAAAAAAATTGGCAACAGTTGTTAGCTCAGGTGCCAACCTTTAAAAAAAAAAAAAAAAAGCGTTCTTAATCTGGAAATGGTATTTGTAGGCATGGCAGTGTCCACCTTGACCAAGTAAAATGAAAACTCAAAAACTTGTTCAGTTAGAGAACTAAGCTGAATACAACACTAAACTCCACTTAAGAAAAAGCCCCTTTGCTTTTTATTATGGCCCACAGGGTAACGGTCAGTCAGAGAGGTACACGTCGGCCGTGAGGCCCTATCCTAACTTCTCCCAACAAGCCTTAGTCCCAGCCCCCCTCCCCACCTGCTGGAATTTCTCAGATACTTGTTTGCTTTAGATTTACCTTGACTTTTGGATTTATGGTCCACAAACCTCCTGTAAGTCTAGTTCTACTAGAAGAAAATTTGGCTACGGTGGACCCATCTTTTGTAGGAGTTTGGTTATTTAATTGCCAGGATGATCTCATACCAAGTTAATTTCAACAGTAAGCATTCCCATTTCATGGAAACTCAGGCATCATCATCACACTCAGAGCGTGTCTGGAGGATCTGGTGCACACCAGTCCTTTGGGGGTGCTCGGGACCACAGCAGAAGCTAATTCCTCTTTCAGCCTCTCCCCATTCCTCAGCCTTTGGGGAACAAGCCCTGATGGCCGCAAAACCTAAAACTGCACCTTTTTGCAAGACACATACTGAAAAATATCCACTGTGAAACTCAACCCAATTTAAGGAAGACACAGGATGGGAGCAGGCCCTGCCTGCTTTGAAGTTCCGCTGGAAGAGGAACCAGACTTTTCCATTCTTTCAGCGACCGCTGTTGCAGCTCCAACATAATGTTTCCAGGATGGTTCCACGGGGCACCAGATCGCCTGCTTACACTCAGGATGAAAAGCCACATTTGTTAAAATACCAAAGAAAGGCCTGTGTTACTTTTGGAAAAATAGATCCAGATGAGGCTTACAGGGGCTCTGAACTCCCAGATTCCTGTTAAAGATTTGAATTGGCTGCTAAACCAGTCTCAGAGGGACCGATCTAAACTTTCCTGATGGACATTTCAGATCTCGTGCGTGCCTTCTGCCCTTTGAGTCCAACTTGGACACTCTGGTGCTAATAAGTTTAACAAAAGAGGCTAGACATGATGCATAGCAATGGAATTTTTGCTGAGAAGTGAAGAGCAAAAGTAATTTTAGTCCATTTTATGGGAGTCAATATAGTTAACAGAAGTGAAGTCCAGGTGGAAGGGAGTATGCTTTGAGTAACTGGGAAAATATTCTCTCAGGAGAAGAAGAAAAAATTCGAATATTGCTTTCCAGGTATGAGGTGGT